TTTTCTTTCCCCTACCTAATAACTAAACAACTGAATAGGGATTTGCTGTTGCTCTTTTTAAACCTTTGCGAAACTACGCCATCTAGTACATTTTTCAACAACTTTAATATTTATTATTACGGAACTATTTTGACTTTGATTTTAAATCTTACTTAAATCACACGCTTGTAGATGATGACGCAGGGCTCTTCTCTTGTGGCGGCGATAGTAATTATGGTTAGCTGCTCAACTTGTGGAATTTCTTACAACGCTAAACATCAAAAAGGAAAGCTGACTTTTCATGCGTAAGTATTTCTTTACATTATATGTTTAAAGATAGTCAAAAATTTAGATTTAAAATTAGAAAGAATGAACTGTCACATAAAAAGGTAGGTTAACTGCTGCGCGCGTAGCATTGGCGTCACAAAGGGGTTTTCATGATTACTAACTTTAGCGCATTTTCCAGACACTATAAATAAAAAAGTTACATTGCGCATTTTGTGCATGCGCACATCTAATGTTTACAATATGCGATATACGGACAGAGAAAGTGGCTTCGTTGGAAAATGCACAAAAGTATGTAACTATAAAAGTATAGCTATACTGAATCTAAAGTAAAGAATTTCTCTATGTTCTAACAGATTTCCGAAAAATGTTGGAAGAAGAAATGCTTGGATTAATTGTGTTAGAAATACAAAACCAGAATGGATTCCGAAGAAGAGTAGTATATATAAGCTTTTAATATTTTGAACTCGCATAAAATTTCAGAAGTCGGGTATAAGCAGGCAACATGCCCTACCAATATTGAAGAAATTCGTAGGTTTTATACAAAATTTTGCAAGTACATAGTCAACTTAAAAATGAGAGACAATATGTTTGTTACAAGATCACAAAGAAGAACTGGATTCGCTGGGATGTTGATGGGGTTTTCTGCATTGTTAGGAATGTATGAAGAATATATTGCCACACAGATTTTACATTTCCTTCCAACATATAAGTTGAATCAAGATCACCTCGAACTCTTCTTTGGAAGATCACAGGGTGGATATAATAACAATCCAACTTGTAGAGAGTTCACGGCCGCTTACAAAAAAATTTTGATACATGCTGAAGTGAGAGATGGTGGAGCAGGAAATTGTGTACCACTTCACGACATAAATATTTTGAGTTCGTCTTACAAGAGTCCAGAACAAATTATAAATGAAAGTCTTCCAAGCATAATAGAAACTAGTGAAGATGATACTGATGATTTTATTTCCAAGTTTTTCACAGACCATGATTATGTGTTTAACTTAGATTCATTGTCTCCCTATGTTTTGGAAGTTGTTAAATACATTGCTAGTTTTGTCAGCTTCAATCTTGGACATAAGCTCAAATGTGAAAATTGCATTCCTTATTTATATGGACAGGAAGAAAATTTCTTAAATTCATTGATATACCAAAAAAGTAGAGGACGCCTGTCATATCCAAGCAGTGACGTATTAAAAATTTGTTTACAATGCGAAAAGCTTAGAAGACAACAAATTGTAAGAAAATCTGTAATCGATAAAAATTGTATATCATTACAAGTGTTGAAATTTGGTAATGATAAAGTTAGGAATTTATTGACTAAACTCATTCTATTTAATAATAATAATAATAATGTGTCTTTATTAGAATAACGAGTGGCATTTAGGTATTATTATAACCATGTAATTAACAAGTTTACCCGTTAATCTAATGAGGGAAGTTCAGATGCTTTGGTACAAAGAAACCGCGCATCTGCTCTTCCACTTAACCCCTTTAGATTGCATTACTTAAAGATAACGATAGTGGAAAATTATAGTTATAGTAGGTGGATGAATAAACAAAAAATTAAAATTTAAATAAAAAATAAAAACATTATGTCTTACGCTAAACGAACCAAAAATCAATATAAGGAAATCAGATATAAATGATGGATGTGTACAAAAAGAAATCAAACAGATGTAATGTCAAGCTCAGTGAATGTTTTCTTATTTTGTTCCTCCTTGTTTCCTTGAATATTTAAGAAGACTGACATTATGTTAAATTTAAATTGTATGAGGGTCTTGTATCATTTGTGCTCTTGTTTTTTTTTAAAGTAGTTAGAGCGCCTAGGTAACAGTAACAAGAAGTTGGTGAAAATTTGGTCACTTATTCTCTGAGAGACGCACTTCTAATGGCCAAAAGAAAAAAGTGTTCCTATGTGCCGTTTCTGAGATATTTGAGAGTAAAAACAGGGTATTTTAACATGGGCTCTTATGGACAGACTAGTTTTTCTGAGCTAGCGATGGTTTTTGTATCAAGACTTAAACGAGATGGGTCTCATTAGAAGCGAAATTTTGTAATGAATCTAAATATGCACGGAAAAGTACAGGTTCATGATGAAATAAGGAAGATATTTACCGCCGGAGCGGCGTCTGCTCTGGCGCGACGGCGCGCTATGCAGCACGCGTTTAAATCTGATGACTTTTCCACTAGTCTAGTAGGTATATAACTGAGCTAGGACAATCTTTTCCTTCTTCTGCTGAGCACTTTTCTTTACAAAAGGCATGGTGTCTTTCAGAAAGAACACCAAAACCAGCGATATTTATAAAGGCCTGCACACGTCTTGTTGACACACTGATCAGATCGAGATCAAGATAGCGGCTGGAGATCTCTGGCGCCAACATCGAAAAACCAAATCCACTACACCGACTTCACGTAAAACACCAAATTATTTAGTTTCCCGGCTTTTACATACGTCTCGCATACGTTTTGATAAAAAATAAATATATTCGTTTAGGATTTACCGCTTACACTGTGAATATTTAGTCGCGGTGTGTCGTCAACAGTTTAGTGTGCAAAGGTTTGAAACAGGGTCGAAAAGTAGGGAGACTAGTCAAATTGACTACTGTATATACCTTTTTTAAAATCATGTATGACGTTTGCATTGTGCTGAGGTACAAAATACCACTCATACCGTATTTGTAATTATGTTTCCTTCATAACAAAATTTTTTTGGGGACGTTTACCGTAAATAATAGGTAGGCAGAGTACATCGCTTGACTTCAGCCGAACGCGCTCTAACTACTTTAATCAATAAAGATGATAGCAAACCTACTTAAGATTTTTGACGATTTCTCATATACACGGGGAAAATTTCTGTTGGACAACTTCAGATTCGTGTTCAGCACACCAACAAACATACAGTAACCCACTAACTACACTAGAACTTTCCACTTATACTTTTTGTGCACCATTTGACTATAAACTAAATAGGCACGCCACTGGAAAGCGGAAATTCACGACCTTCCATTCTGATCCCCTTTTTTACATTACTATGCTGCTTCCTGTCGGTTTTATATTCAAAGCCTCACGTTTTCTAAATAAATTACTGTGAGACATGTCATTTTCCAAGGCTGCAATAGTCTCAAAACTTGAGCACTAGGAAAATTCCCCTAGAAAATAACTAAAATGTGCACATCATGCTAGGGCCATTTCTACCTCTATGCAACTGTTTGATCAGCAGTCCATCTTAATTTATAAGTTCGTGGAATAGGGCTTTCTTTTAGTGTACTTAAAAAAAAAGGCGTTGCGTACAACCGCACCTATGGAGATCCAAATTTAAGAAACTTCAAAGTCTAAAAACTCAGTTTTTTTTAATGGAATGACCATGTTCTTACTATTGCATGAGATAGAGAATCGAAATTCGCATATTTTGATATTACATGTTCCTATAGCTATCTTTAAGTTTCTGATTTATTCCCATTTCATTGCATTGATACTATTTTTGTCGCATTTTCTTTTTAGTAGTTGGCCATGATTTAATAACAATCTAATTTTAAACAAATCAAGGAAAGGATTCTTTAATATCATTGATTCTAGTCTAAATAATTCATTAATAAAAAAGAGAACAATGTGATCAGCTATAATTGGAAAACAAAAACTTATATGGAAATAAGATCAAATTATTTTAAAACCCGCTCTTCTTCAACACATGCTCAAAATTAGAGCCTTCGTATCACTTGTGCTTGAATGATTTGTAGTGCATTTGGGGGTACAAAATTTCCAAAATTCATACAATTTCGTTTCAGTGTCCGAATAACTGTACGGCAAACACGTGCCGCGATTCTGTCCATTTCACCATACATAAATAACAATTAAATACCAAAATAGGTGAAACCACTGCGAGCCATTTTTCGATTTTTGAAAAACTTATGTTAACCTATAACAGTAGGTGACGGATTAGTGTCACTAGATTTGTTTAAAATTCGATTGTAATAAAATCATGGCCGACTACTAAAAAGAAAATCCGAAAAAAATAGTGTCAATTCAATAAAATGGGAATAAGTCAGAAACTGTTAAAGATAGCTATAGGAACATGTATTGTCAAAATATGCCCATTTCGATTCTCTATCTCAAGGAATAGTAAGAACATGGCCATTCCATTTAAAAAAACTGAGTTTTTAGTCTTTGAAGTTTCATAATTTTGGATATCCATAGGGGCGGTCGTACGCAACGTAACTTTTTTTAAGTATACTAAAAGAAAGCCCTATTTATTCTCTATGCAGTGATAAAAATGGGTTGCCATGACTACAACCGTTTTCAAGTAATCAATTATCAAGGTATACCATCTGCATTCGCAATTTTTTTTCTTAAAGTCAAAATAACTTCAAAACCACAAATGGTAGATATCGACATGTGGGTATCAAAAGAACTGAAATTTCACGTAGAATCCAAAAATGCAATAAAAATAGGGACTGCCATTTAAAATCGAATCGGCCTTCAGAGTAACTCCTAAGGACAAATTTTCAAAAGCCTACCTATTTTACTTTCCCAGAAACGTTTAACTAAAGCTCCCAAAAAACACCCTGTATATGTATGTAATTGTTTTTAATAAAACGCAGAGTCATCAGAAGGGGATTTACGTCAAGGTAATTTCATTTCTTAGCAATTGTTTAAGTAAATATAGCGTTACCTCATTTGGAGTTTTTGCTTTTACATGTATCGCAATCAAATTGATCCATTAAGATTCTTACCTTAACTTTCTGCTCATCTTTTTCTTGCAGTTCCCGTATCAATTTATCTTTCTGCTGGTCCAGTCTCGTACAGAGCTCCCGCAGTGTGACGACTTCGCCGGCAGTTTGATATTGTTGATCCCGATAATGGTTCACCTGCTCCTCCATTCGTAAAAGTTGCGACCGTAAATCTGAAATCTAAATTATAAACTTCAATTGAAGTTCGGCGGGATCGTTTTGAGAATTTGAAACATACCATCTTGTCAAGTCTATTTCCAGAATATCGCTAACAGAACAATTTGAAATACAGATTACCACTTTTAAACAAGTAATAACTCAATTGAAAGTATTACCTTTCTCTCGTAGTCAGTGATTTGATTATCTTGATGGGTTAGTTTCTCTTCCAAATCAGAGACATGATCCAAAGTAACGGACAGCTGGACTTTTGATTGGGTTGCCTCGTGTTCTAAGGAGTGGTTATTGGTTTCTAGGAGATTTGCTTCTTGTGAGAGTGATCTAAATTGCTCCAGTAAGTCATTGCGTTCGGATTCCTGCATAAATGTACTATTAGAGGGGCCCTTAGGAAAACACGAACCTACTTTGTGGTCCATGAGATCTTCAAAGCGTCTCACTTCGGCTACGTAAGTCTGCAATTGTTTCTTTAAATCGTCAATGTGCCTTTTGCAGTCGTCTATTTGGGTTTGTGCAGTTCTATACTGGACTGTAACTGAGGCTAAATCATCTTGTAGTTGCCTGAAACGTCAAGCTAGTATATTTCAGGTGCACACCGAATGGAAAAATTTCATTACCTATTTTCAGCCATTAAATTCTCTTTCGTTCTTGTAATCATCTCCAGGTCTTGTTTTAAGGATGCCATTTCCAATGAACTTGTTTTTAATAACTGCTCCCTCGCAGATGAATCGTCAATAGTTTTACTGAAAAACAAAGAAAATCTTTGCAATTTAGGTGCCAGGGGGGTAATACGTAAAGAATTATTAGCACTTGTTCGCACCATTGAACTTATAGAACCTTGATCCTGTGTAGTATAGAATACTCCTCAAAAAAGAAGACCCGAATGTTCTTTTTCAAAAACTATCACGAGAGTTAAGGCTGAGCGCTTTTGTGGGAGAGCGTAGTACCGAGAGGTCTGGGGGTATGGAATACCCTCCAGCATTACAAAAATTTCGCTATGATTACCATAACGAGTGCTAGGGGTAATAGAGAAAGAACCATCAAGTCTTCCTTCGACGACATAATTTTCGAGACACGACTACAATCCTGTCCAGAATGGGATACTCCTCAGCGAAGGAAGATTCCACTATTCAACTATTACGGTAAATACGAACAATAGCGGAAGTTTTAAACGCACAAAATTAAATTTGGATGCCCTTAAATAAAATTGAATTGTGAAATAAGAGGTCAACGAATGCGGACAACAGCGTAAAATTAAATGTTGGCGTCTCAATATTCAAGGTGAATGGACTTTTCATGTTGTAATTCTTAGCACGTCTGAAACAGTCGCTTGTGTGCAAAGCCACATCTACAATTCCCGTCGGATTTTGGGTGACCGTAGTTTGAACTGCCAATCAAAGATGTCATTTATCATTGACTTTATACACTATAGATAGACAAACGGAGAAATAGGGAAAAATGGCAGCCGCTTACTGTAGCGAATATTTGCGTTAAATAGGCAACTTATTAAACACACTGCAATGCACGTACTAATGATGACGTTGAATGGGACGACATATGAACGCAAGCAAATTTATGACGTTTCATTCGTTTAATTTTTGATTCTGTACATTTTTGTTTGAACTACTCTTAATAGTATTACAAAGACCATTTACAAAATTTAAAGTTCTTAGCAACAATTTAACAGATATGGCCGATGCACAGCGTTTTTTTCCTAATTTCAAAGGATTTGTGTAAAATTAATAGTTCCTTGGCGTCATTAAGGTTGGATGTGGTTTTCTGAGAAGCTGTTCACATGGTGTGCAATTAAACTTTTCGATCGCAAAGTAGATCAACTCACTCTTCCAGTAATGTACCTAGTGTTATCAACTTCAATGTCCAAGATGGAGTTTTCTAATGACGACTGAAAAAATGCAGAAGATGAACGTGATGGCGATTCTGAACATTTCGTCGAAGCAAATAACACCCACTATTTCTCGACGATAGTAAACTAACTTTTTAGTTTAATTTGTTCGAACTGTGCTGAATTATATCCTGTAGTGGATTTAGATGCCGAAATCCATTCTTTTAAGGTAGATATTGCGGGCAACACGAGATTTTGCCTCTAGAAATTTGTGAGTTGCCGGAGACTTGTAGTATAACTTTATGACAAACTCCTTTTCGTCTTGATGCCATGGAGGTTTAGCTTTATGCAAAATTTGCGTTCTTACTAATCCGCGCTTGTCAATGTCAATACCTGTCACTGTCACTGTGCATGCATGTACAATAATTATTAATGACGTAATAACAACGAGAGTGGCGCTGCGACGATTTGGTGGCCCAGCTCCATACTAACATTTCCAGCTCCATTTGTGTTGCCATTTTTTAAGCCTACACCGTTTGTCTATAGTGTGTAAAGTCAATGCATTTATTATACGAGACACCTAGGAATTTATATCGCATTTTGATCAATCAGTACTTCGAGTTTGAATGACCAAGGGATATTGCCTTTATTATTGCTGTATAATTAAGGTAACCATTTATTAGTGTTCAAAACAATACCGTTTACTTTAAAGTGTTGCAAATTTAAATTTTGTATCAGAGTCAGAGAGAGCCTTTAAAGATTAATTTACGAGTACTTTTTGCTTGTGTAGACCTATGAGAGAAAGATTTTTTTTCATTGCTGCATTTATTACTACATAACGAGAATCCTCCAGCTGCGTTCATTTTTCTTGTAAAGGGGATAGTAGCCATTCATTAAAACTTAAGGAAGCGGTAAGTCTAGTTAAAAAACTGGCCACTTTAAAGAAATTTTGTACATCATTACTTAAATTCTTTTTTATTATACCTGAATCACAATCTCCGTTTTAAACACTCAAATGCGTGCGAAAAAGGGCCTTTAAAACACACGTGCTTTAAAGTTGCTAAGTAACGATACTTCAAGTATGACTTTTGAAACTGTCATCTGGATGAAATAAAAAATCCTCTTAGGTCGCTTTCTGTAAATGCAGAACATTTCTTTGGCTTTTGTACCTATCCTTTGGTTGAAGCTTTCACAAACGCGCATAATTTAGGGTATGCTTCCAAATCTGTTCTACTTTTTAATCGCAGCATTGTTCGAAGTTTTGAATGAATGCACCAAAATATAGAAGATTTAAATACCTTTGACATTTCCTTCATATATGCCAGCATTATGGATGCATTTCTTTATAATAGGCTTTACTGGAGTTGGATTTTACACCTACCAACGTTTGATTAGATTTTACAACAATTGATTTAATGGACGGTGTATTATCTTTTTCAACGGAAATCGTTTTATTCACGAAGACGACGATTTTTATAAGCAAACGTCAAGTGACATTTCCATGGCAATCGTGAAATTACGAACACCCAGCCCACTTAATTAGACATGTATTCGAGTCTAACGTCAATATGATTTCATTGAATTTCCTATTTTTAAATTATACTGCAGGTATAATAAAAAATACTATAAGATACACGTGTATAATTGGTCTTTAAAGCACTTGCAACGTTAAAGGCACTCCGCTTTGCGTCGTGCCCTTAAACTCGTTGCGCGTGCTTTAAAGACTTGATTATACACTTGTATCTTAATATACTATTTAATCATAAAGAAACAGGTCCATTTTCCTGGACAATTTTGATTAAAAAATTTCTTTATACTGAGCTGAACCGTCGGCACAAAAGTAACTTTTTTTATCCTTTCTAATGAAAAATCATAATTTTTAGTACTAGTGGGCATTCAGTTCCGGTTTTGTACCCGTTACAGAATCTTCCTACAACCGATCAATAGATATCTACCTAAACCTAAATCGCGATTATATTTTTATGTTTCAAATTTATGCGTTTCACAATATTTAAATTAGGGGAATGAAAACAGGTAATTTTGGGGCCCTTGGAATCCCGGGACTAAGCAAGCAACAACAACGAAACCACCTCGGTCCTATGTTGGTCGCCAAAGTACTGAGAAAATGTGCGGTTTAGAAACTTTTGTTCCTGGAATTGTTTTTGTCTCATTATTCGAGTATGACGTGACAATCCAACTTAAAATTCGTTATTAATTCCAATAAGGTCTTAAATGCCACGTAAAAAGGTCAATCGATAGTAAAACATGACTGCGAACTTGCGGCGAATTTTTATTAATTTTTTCGTGCCGATAAATAACAAGTGAATCGGTATTGAAGTCAGCTAATGACCTTCTGCACATCGTGATTAAACTTCACTTTCTCTATTCAGAAGGAAACATTAGCGATGTAAAGAAAAACGGAAAACGTTACATAAGAGGTTCCGCGTTTTTTTTTTGGAATGATTAATGAATAAACAATCAGTGAGGGCACTTCACGTAAAGTTCCGCAATGTCAAAAGAAAAACGTTGGTTTTACGCAAGCCTTAAATTGCGTAGGTATATAATGGAATTACGCAAGATGTAAACAGTTTAAAACGAGATCAACGGAACTGCTACTAAAAAATTATGGCAAACAATCACCTTTAAGTTACATATTCATGTAACAATGTTATTAATTTCCCTTTCTTTTCAAGGCGTGACCTCTTAACCAACTAATGCAAGTGAAAGTCCTAATTTAAATTTGCAGAAGTTGACATTGAACAATATCCCACCAAATCAATAATTATAAGATACCTACCTATTTTAAGTTTACATCCCTCACCACCAACCTCTATAGGTATGTGTTGCAAATCATTTCAACATTTATATTGTCACACTGCTTCACGATCATTGCAGTAATGCTAATTGTTCCACGGTAGTGCCACATTTTGGATTATGTGATTCGGTGGTGATTAATATCATCGGAATGGTATTAAATTCAAATTTGCTGGTATGTCCAAACCCATTTATTAATCCAATCGGCATATGCTTGATTGAAGGTTTATATCAGCATCCTTGCTACTTTTACAATTAACAGGTGCAATTCATTAGTCTCGCTATAAAAAAATTTAAACTAATAATAGTTATAGTAACGGTAAGGTAATTAGCACATTATTGTAACCAGTGCCCATACATGACACTTTCTACGCAATTTCCGTATAATTAAACAATGTTTCTAATACTCTCCTCCCTTTATCTCCCCGTGTGAGACATTGAAGAGCAGAAACGTTTTTATTCTCAACAGAAAACCCTGGGGAAATTTGGGTCTTTGTACAAAATATTCGAATATTGCAAGTTTTATACACTCACGCCAAGACTCACACCTATGCACAATAATTAGCTACTAGTTTTTTAAATGGTTTTAATTACTTTGCGGCCAGCATCCAATAAACTAAGCAATAGAATGTAATTGAATGTGTATGTGGCGCCTTACATTGCCTTTTGATACCTTGTAAGGTTTATATTAGGCCGGCTGTAATTTTTATTTCTGTTATTAAACACTTGATGATAGGTACTCAGTGAGTTTTATTGTACCGGGCTCAATTGCAATTCAAGCCGAACAACCTGTGTACATTTTGAAAACGGATGTTAAGAAAGTTGTCTGAACGAAATTGGTGCATAAATAACAATTTTTGACCAAATGCTAACCTCGTAGGCGGCGATTGTGGTAAAATATTGAGACCATCATTATTCACTTGAGTTAGTTTTGGGGATTCGTGCAAAACTGTGTACTTAGGAGCCAACTAGCGTATTCTTAGGTGCAAATGTTTTTTGCATGATAATCACTCTTAACCGTTTCAAAATGGGACTTTAGATACTGCTAATACTGTGCGATCAAAAATGAGTTGCTGTCGCGTCACCTTTGGAACTTTTGTTTACATGGTAAATCGTATTTAACTTGAGCTTCCAAACGCGACTCGACAGCAACCCATGAGACACGGTCAACTCGCCAAGGGCGACTCGCCACCGGACCACTCGCCACCGACCGACTAGCCAATGGGACAACTCGCCAACGGGACAACTCGCCACCGCGACAACTCGCCAATGCGACAACTCGCCACTGCGACAACTCGGCAACGAAATATTTTTATTTCATACTATCTAGTAATCGCCGCTTTCCCAGACTGATTTGAGTCTGGTAAATCGTATTTTACCAGACTGAAAATTTTTACCAGACTGGAAATTTTGCCTAGCAACCGCAACTGACATCCATCTAAACGTGATATTTGATTGATTGATTGATATTGATATTTGTCAAACTACTGTCGGATCAAACAAATCAAGTGATTGACTTTTGCTTTTATTTTAATGTGTACCTACAACATTCTAATCAAAATGGTATTTTAATAGAAATAGAGCAGTATGAAATAAAATGTTTTACATTATTTGTATGTCAAATCAGTTTACGTTACTCGTTTCGAAATTCCTGCCTCAGCTACGCTTCGGCAGTAAACATCTCACTCGTTAACGTAAATCTTGATTTTCCATACTCATATGTAAATAACTATTCCCTGTTTAATGTGCCATACAAATGCATCCCACAAATGCAATAGTCAATTTCCCTAATTTTGTAAAAAAAGTTTATCGAAAAATTGTAGTCAATATTTGAATGAAGACCCAACCGCCTATACCCTGCTTCTATTACTGCATTTTGATATAAAGACATCTTCTGAAAATTATTATTTGAACAGAAAATTTGACAATCACATCGTTATTTGAACGACACATTAAACAGGGAAAAATATTTCGTTGGCGAGTTGTCGCAGTGGCGAGTCGTCCGTTGGCGAGTTGTCGCATTGGCGAGTTGTCCCGTTGGCGAGTTGTCGCGTTGGCGAGTTGTCCCGTTGGCGAGTTGTCGCGTTGTCCCGTTGGCGAGTCAGTCGGTGGCGAGTGGTCCGGTGGCGACTCGCCCTTGGCGAGTTGACGCGTACCGCAACCCATTTTTGATCGCCCGTTATTGTACAGCATGACATTCTGGATGTTTTGGCGGTAGAAATTAGTGTGAAAGCTCGGAATAAAAGTGACAATTTCAATTTTTAGCCTTTGAAATTTGATTTGCCAATACAATAAACATGTTTTTATTTTATTTTATTGTAACGAATTTTCCAAAGTGATATCCAGGCGCTATCCAGTCGATAAAGGATTAGTCACCGGCGATAAGGGATATTTATAAAACCTACGAGTAAAAAATAACGAATTTCCCCTCTCACAAAGCGCAACGTGTCTACTCTACCTACAAGAGAGAGATCCGAAAAATACCAGTTCTTTGGCACTACCAATAACGGTATCGGTTCCGGTTAACATAACCTCTTGAATAACGGTTTCGGTACCGTCGTACCGATTCTTTTCGATTCCAGTTGCAACTCTTGGTTAAAAGTAGCTGAAAAATGTTAGCTTAGTTACATTGTATTAGGTGAATTTTTTCACACAAAATGTAGCCGAAATACTTTACCTGTTGACTCTTATGAAGGTAAAAATATTACATAAATGTCTCCAAAGAAATCTGTACGGAGATTCAAAGAATGTTTTAATGATGTCAAGATATTGTTCCAAAAAAATGTGTTATCCCCTAAAGGAATTGGTAGTATGCTGGGGATCGCTAAGAGAATTCTCCTAATCTGACTTGAAAATTATTCGGGTCGCACAATGGATCCAAATAAACATACAATTAATTGATTGACAATGACAAACATTCATTCTGAAAAACACAAAAATTAAAACAAAATCCTTGCAAGAAAGAAAAGCTTACAAAGCTTATTAGGACACATTACCCCGCACACAGGCGGTGGATAAATAAAATAGAAATCTTAAAATGGGTTTTTTAGCGCATTTTTGTACATTTATTTGTAAAACGGTAGCTTTTAATCTCACTTTGGCTGGCTGGTTGACTGGCACCAAATGCGGGCCCGTAGAAGAACGCTTGTAGAAAGACGAAGAGTGTACATGTACCTACCAGGGCCATGTGATTAACAACTTTAGGGACGGGGCTACATGATGTGGGGTCGGCAACATCTAGGCGCCATCCACGAGCATGTTATACTAACGTGGTGATGTTTCAGTGTCTTCTACAGTTTTGATCCGATTGTTTTCATATATTGGTGACTGGTGTCGTCGGAAAGATCTTGTAAACGCGCACAACTCCTGCGTGACGGAATTGAAATTTACCTAGGGGCGAAATGAACCACATTTTCAAAGACGCTCGTCTTCGAGGGGTAGTTGGTTTTGGGCGCCCAAAAGTTTCTTTGAGCTTTTTCTCGTGTCGCCAATGGAAGCTCGAGCTATAAGAAGTGTCCCAAAAAAGGAGTACTATTGCGGTTGAAAGGAACGGCATAAGTGGGCATCGTAATGTGGATGCCTCCGACAAAATCTTACTGATGTGGTAGCCTTCGACAAGATCTATTGATAGTGGAGTCCAAACTGGCTCATAGAATACTAATCTGCCACACAAAAATGTGCTGTAAATGCGAATAAAATTAACGACGTATCCAAAATGTTGCTTTGCGCATGAGCAACGTCAACTTTCTTACAGAGCATTAAAATGAAATTTGATAATTAGGCATTTGGAATAAAAGCAAATCTAACACCAGTTTCTAATTTGGGTTTTCGCATGCGCAACACCAAATTTTTTATTTATGAAGGTTAAATATTTCGAAGACGAGCTCTCGTGAGCGAATTTACCGCTGTGATAGACGCCCAATGTTGTAATGTAAAAGGTGAAAAATAAAGGTTCTTTTTTCATTGCGGTTAATTAAGGTGGACCTTACCTACAAAAGAATTGCTTGGAGATCAGTAGGTGCTCAGGATCCAATACTCTTAAGCCCGAATATTAAGGAGCGAATAAATCAAAGACGATTTTACTGGTCGCCAATATTCCAAAGTCCATAGCGAATTACTCAGAACCGTATACAATGTGTTCAAAGTCGGCAATATTACTCACTTTGTGAGCTAGTTAAATTAACAAATGCGAAGCATTTTTTTCTCACAATTGCAATGGTTGAAACAGAAAAACAATTGCACATGGGGTTATCAAGTTATTCAATAAAGTAACTGTGACCCTTTTTAAATGGAACATCCTGTATATCCTAACATATTTTGAAACGGAATAAAATTCCGATGAAAAACTTAACCAAGAGTCTCTCTGAAAGCGAATGGGCGTTTTACCTTCTCTAGCCAAGAATTCAATTATAAAACACTCTCTAATAAGAATATTAGTGTCAACCATTTTGCAAGCGAATATTGTGCTTGCTAGGCTAGCTAATGTCGCAAGAAGTTGCTGCTAAAAATAGCGTGTGTTCTATTTTGGTTGAGACCGCAGTGTATCTCAGCTGTTTGTAAAGATGGAGACTTGTGGTTTTTGTAACCCGCCTGTGCCACTTTTCTGCGGAACTTTTAATACCACAAACAGAATCAATCTAGCTACGTTTATTTCTGAGATACAGAAACGTAAAGTGGGGCTTTTTGGGATGTTATCATGTCTAACTACGACTGCCCATGTAAAATAGAAAAAAGGTAAATTGCCAAATTTAGATACTTTTACGTAGAATCCAGTGGCGTAGTAAAAAAATGTTGGACCTCCTTTTCTAAGATTGGGCATTTTTTAAATGCCACACCCTGTGTATCTTAACGTCAATTTTCTTTTTCCTGATTACATTGATGTATCACAACCTATATTTTTTTTAATTGTAGCCATGAACCCAAAATAAAAATCTTATAACCTGACTTATATAGTAGGCCATGGATACATGGAGATTTTGGTTTGTTTATTGTATCCATGGTAGCTAAGGCTAAGTTGAAAAATATAATACAATATAGTTAGTTTTTTTTTAAATGCGAACATACGATTTTGTATGCAATGTAATTTTGCTATGTTCGATTTAAAAAAAAACGCATCAATCTATTGAGTAGTTCAAATGAGTAGTAGATAAAATTAACAGCTGTCACATTTAAAAAATACCGCCGTCGAATTTAATTTAAACAAAATGCTTACTTTGGAGGTGAAGGTCCAAATTGTAGATTGGTACAAAAGTTATAACAGTTTTAAGAGAGTTTGGGACTTATTTGCATACAATATCTCGAACAACCAATACCATCCATTTCGACAATTCATAAAATTGTCAACCAATAATAATAATTAAAGGTTGGTTCACAATAAATTGTGGTATCAGCGCGTGCCCTCATAGATTGATACGTTTTTTTAAAAGTTGAACATACCGTATGTTCGCATTTAAAAAAACTCATTGTATAATTAGTTATATACAACCACAGATAAAATGGGTATTTTATCTGTGATAAAACATATAGCTTGTAATCAGGAAAAAGAATGCACACAATTTACGTTAAGATATACAGGGTATTGCATTTAAAAAATACCAATTTTGCGTCAAATCACAACAAAGGCGGTTCACAAATTTTTTCGTATTTAAAGTATGCGCTATTTAAAGCAAGGATATGTTTTGTCCAGACATTCCAATTGCCCCTTGTGAGTATCCCTCCTTCTTCGATACTCTGCTCTCAAGATATGAGGATTTATAACCGAATTAGAATAGGTACGAAAATTAAAATTAAAATTTCAAAAGTTCCACTTAGCACCATTAGGGTCATATGCATGGAAAATGTGAGGCAAATGGGCAGTTGCATGCAAAAGTTATGCACGTTTTTTACTTTCCGAAATAGCAGAGGGAAAACCCTCAAGACATCCAAATTTGAAGGCTATCTGGTACACTGAATTTCATTTGCAACGTAACTTCTACTTCTATGCTATTTTATTTATTGCAGATACCAAAGAAGTTATGTTGGATATTATCATTTATCTCGATCACAATTTCCAATAGCGCAGTCGCTCCACCCGCTTGGGCCGATCCGAAACTAAACCCATGTGCAACCCAACCACGGGGATGGCAGATGCTGTACTGGCCACCTGATGGACAGTGCTATAAAATTTATCAGGTCAGTATGTATATTATACCCACATTTTTTATTACGCCAACTTGGTAAGTCAGTATTTTTGTACTGCACCTAGGCAATAAAAATTAGAAAAAAATTGACAAAAAACTGCCACCTTCAATGACCCTGGATGGGTACCTACTAGGGGGAGGAAACTTTACAATATTCATTATAATGATCATCAACTTTCAGGAAGAATGAATGACAAAAAGTAGAAAATGAAGCGCCATTTATTCTCGTTCTAAGTTCAGACATGTAATAATGACCTTTAGACAAACTCTGCTTAGTTTTCGTTGTGTAATATCAATAAAATATTCAAAAAAAGACTATGAGCTAGTAGTTATTCGATCCATACATAATCACCTCAACATATGTTTGAGCTCTCCTTGATTATTCCAAAAATCAACAATGTCTTGTGACGGAGAAAGCACTTTCACGTAATTACCACGTAGAGTAATTTAAAATAATTTGAAATTATTACGCAATGTTAGATAATATCGCAAATAAATCTAAACCCAAAGATGCTCCTACTGTAATTTATAATCGCTTTCATCAATTTTTTCTTCATTCTAATTAGCGAAACCGCTAAATATTCGTAAAAATATTTAAACTTTCTGAATATTATCATTAATCGTTAACTTTCACGCCATTGTTGTCGTTTATCGCTTTGCACGCTATTGTTGAAGTTAGCATCTAAATTTGGTTCAGTTTCTTTACAGGTCGGATATCCATGTCCGGATGGAATGGAGCTTGTGCCAAGTCCGATATCGACGAACGTTACCGCCAAACAAATAGCGGCGGAATGCAGATGTCCGCCTCAGACGGCGCAATTTCCGGACGACGGTCGCTGTTACAAACTTTTTACGGCGGGACCATGCGAGAGGGGCCAGTTTTTCTCACCTGATGATACAATCGCACAGTGAGTTGAATAAACTAATTCTAAACACAAGAACACAATGAGCATGTTGAATTCTTAAAGTTTTGTAAATGATTAGTGTGGTTTATGCAAATTTAATCAGCATTTGAAGTAATCTTGAGTATCTTGACGTTTCCGACCAAATATTGCATAGAAATTGTGGAATTGTTAATAGACTTTACTCTATGCTTCACCTTGCTCTATTGTATAAATGTGTTATTCTACTTTTGAGTTTTTCAATTTCTTTTATATTTTTCATTAGTGTATGTTCACGCGCCACTTTATCTTTAACTGCCATACTGTTTATATTTTTCATTTTTATACTGTGTTGGTTTTTAAGACTATTTAAAAAAAAAGAAAATACCTAGGAAAATACAGTATTCACTTCACCTCTAAAAACCAAGTATTATAGACACTCGCAACTTAAACAAATGTATTATACTAATATTTTCTTTTAGAAACAGTCGCCGATGGGGCAAATGTAAGATTATAGAAAAATGTGAAAATTCAAACGAGTTATATTGGCCAGAAGACAAAAAGTGTTACCTGCATCTAACTCAGGGGCCATGTTCGAAAGGGCAGCTCATTACTACAGGCTCTGACAATGTGTCTGCCTGTAAATGTGACCACGAGTACGAAATGCAAAATTACTGGTCGCATGGAAACGGTTGCTACGAGCATTATACGAAAGGACCATGCAGAGAAAATGGACATTTGTTTTTGCCCAATCAGCGCTGCGGATGCCACAATTTATTACCTCATTACCATAATTCTACCAACATGTGCTATGAATTAGGTAATTTCGTTTTATTTTCTTTTTTTAACTATGATGGAGTCATTCAGCCCTGTAATGTATAACTAACGTCAAACTTAATGTGCAGGATATTTGTAGAAAACGTTATTTTGCCAATACTAAATAAGGCAATTTAGCGTTTTTTGTCAGATAACCTGCACGTTGCATTTTTTTAAAAATAGAACATCCTGTATATTATTAGATATTTCAATTCTTTTCCTAATTTTAAGCAAATTTTGTAAGAAGCATAATGTGCTCAAATTCAATCGTTTCTGGGTTATCGAGTTTTAAAAATAAACGCTTACTACTACTTTTAAATTTATTGAAGGATTGAATGAAGAACAATAAAACAATCATTCTTTTCAGAACCGCAGAATATTTTCAAAAGAAATTCGTGATTTGTCATTATTTATTGTTCTTCATTGAATGAATTTTAAAACAATAGCGTTTATTTTCAAAACTCAATAACCGGGAAACGATTGAATGTATAATATTATGTGGCTTACAAATTTTTGTTAAGCGTTATACAGGGTGTTCCTAAATATGATGTAATACCGCAAGGAGCTAATTCTTTGGCTTATTTTATAAGCATATAAGCAAACGCTTCGTTACTATCTACAGGGTATTATAATTTCGCTATATTTAGGTTTAAGCTTTTTCTTTATATCTCCTACAATTTTTGAGCAATGTAGCTCAAATTTGGAATATGTTTCGCTAAAAGCCTTACATCATCAGTAACTAATGTCAATGGTAGTGGGATGTTAAAGGGTGATGTTTTTGTAGGGGTCATATTTCTTGAACATTTCTTCGGTGCGCCGCTGATAGATTGTAAAATAAGAAACTTATTTTCTGATTTATTTAGAAATTTTTGCGTATCTGCGACCGACATCGAGAAAAAAGAAACAATTTTCTGTAGTTTAGCTAAATGAAAGTAAAACTTTTAAAATGGTCCACTAGGCCCTTACTTTATTAGGATGTCTTCTTTTTATTAGTTTCAACAGTTCGTATTTAAAATTGTACTTATTTTGTGTTTGTAGGCGATATAAAGAAAAAAATTAGCCCCTTCTGTATGTACAGGATGTTTCAAATTCGTGGCTGACTATTAGGATCTGCGCAACAATGAGAAATACAGTGTAGGTTCAATGATTTAAAAATACGCATTTGAAATTTTTCAAAAATCTTTGATAATAACCGAGATCACCGAAAAACCGAAAATGTAAATTTTTTTTCATTTTTCTTGGCTTAAACGGTCGGAAATGGGCGATTCAAGTTAGAATCTTCTATGGCCACTTTTTCCAGCAGTTAATCACAATTGCCATAACACGCTAGATGTAGAAGCTGCAGACTGCTACTTTCTTATTTCTTAGAGACGCCATATTGGATTTTTACGGAATGATATACAGCAGCAAAAAAAATTCATTTCAATGTATGAGCATCATAGCCATGTTGATTCGGCAAGATCTAGTTAGTCGTGGATGTTTTGTTGACAAATGAATGTAAATTCGATTTTGAAATTTTTCTTTTTATCCCCTATCTCATTCTGTAAAAATCCAATACGGCGCCCATAGGAAATAAGAAAATAGTAGCCTGTAGCTTCTAGATCTAGTGTGTAATGAAAATTCTGATAACAGATCCAGATTCTAGGAAACAAAAGTGCCCATGGGAACCCTCCATTTCCGACTGTTTAAGCTAGCGAAAATAGGAACAAAGTTTAACATTTTCAGTTTTTCGGTGGTATCTTAGGCATTTTCAATTTTTTTCCAAAAATTTCAAATGCGTTTTTTTAGTGACAAAAAATGGGTAACTTTGTTCCATTTAACCTACACTGTATCTCGCACCGCTACGGAAATTCCAATAGTGAGCCATGAATGTGAACTACCCTGTACATGACAAAAACATCAAACAATTTTGCATTTTAACTTCACCTTCTCAAGTGATATCGTCTACAGGGTGTTTTTTTGGGAGCTTTAGTTAAAAGTTTCTGGGAAAGTAAAATAGGTAGGTTTTTGAAAATTGGTACTTAGGAGTTACTCTGAAGGCCGAATCTATGTAAAATATTTTCAAAATGGCCGCACTTCCGGAAACACCGGAAGTAGATAGTAACTTCGTTATTTTAAATGGCAACCCCTATTTTTTATTGCATTTTTGGATTCTACGTGAAATTTCACTTCTTTTGATACCCATATGTCGATATCTACCATTTATGGTTTTTAAGTTATTTTGACTTTAAGAAAAAAAATGGCGGATGCAGATGGTACCTTGATAATTGATTACTTGAAAACGGTTGTAGTCATGGCAACCTATTTTTATCAGTGGATAGAGAATGAATAGGGCTTTCTTTTAGTGCCCTTAAAAAAAAGTTAAGTTGCGTACGACCGCCCCTATGGATATCCAAATTTATGAAACTTCAAAGACTAAAAACTCAGTTGTTTTAAATGGAATGACCATGTTCTTACTATTCCATGAGATAGAGAATCGAAATGGGCATATTTTGACAATACATGTTCCTATAGCTATCTTTAACAGTTTCTGACTTATTCCCATTTTATTGAATTGACACTATTTTTTTCGGATTTTCTTTTTAGTAGTCGGCCATGATTCTATAACAATTGAATTTTAAACAAATCTAGTGACACTAATCCATCACCCAATGTTATAGGTTAACATAAGTTTTTCAAAAATCGAAAAATGACTGGCAGTGGTTTCACCTATTTTGGAATTTAATTGTTATTTATGGTGAAATGGGCAGAATCGCGGCGCGTGCTTTCCGTACATTCATTCTAAAACTGGAACGAAATTTTATGAATTTTGGAAATTTTGTACCCCTAATGCACTACAAACGGTTGAAGCACAAGTGATACAAAGCTCTACAAGAGAATATTTAAGAAAATGAATTGAATTGCAAATGCAAGATTAACAAATGTTTCAAAAATTTTCCGTCCTATATCCTTAATAAATGAGTTATTTATTCATGAATTATTTAGACTAGAACTAGAATCAATGGTATTAAAGAATCCATTCCTTGATTTGTTTAAAATTCGATTGTTATAAAATCATGGCAAACTACTAAAAAGAAAATGCGAAAAAAAATGGCATCAATTCCGAGATCAATCCAATGAAATGGGAATAAATCAGAAACTGTTAAAGATAGCTATAGGAACATGTATTGTCAAAATATGCCCATTTCGATTCTCTATCTCATGCAATATTAAGAACATGGTCATTCCATTTAAAAAAACTGAGTTTATAGACTTTGAAGTTTCTTCAATTTGGATCTCCATAGGTGCGGTTGTACGCAACTTAACTTTTTTTTAAATACACTAAAAGAAAGCCCTATTCATTCTCTATGCACTGATAAAAATGGGTTGCCATGACTATAACCGTTTTCAAGTAATCAATTATCAAGGTACCATCTGCATCCGCCATTTTTTTTCTTAAAGTCAAAATAACTTAAAAATCATAAATGGCAGATATCGACATATGGGTATCAAAAGAACTGAAATTTCACGTAGAATCCAAAAATGCAATAAAAAATAGGGGTTGCCATTTAAAATAACGGAATTACTATCTACTTCCTTCCGGAAGTGCGGACATTTTAAAATATTTTACATCGATTCGGCCTTCAGAGTAACTCCTAAGTACAAATTTTCAAAAACCTACGTATTTTACTTTCCCAGAAACGTTTAACTAAAGCTCCCAAAAAAACACCCTGTATACGTTGTCGATACTTAAAAACGCCATTACTAAAAAAAATGATGGTGGCTGTGTTCTGGGATAGCGAGGTAATTTGCTTAAACATTGCGTTTGAAATTTTCCTTTCCTTGAAATTACTTTTCATGAGATTAAGAACTTTGAAGATTGGATACATAGTATATTGATAGATTCGTCTGGTCCAGAAGATTCACCCTTCCTTTTTACAACACTACTGTCGAACATTCGCATTTGAAATTTGACATCACCGATCAGACCATCCATTTTCCCTTTGAGCTAACTTTCGTAGTTAGTTTTCGTTAGAAAAACGGTTAAATGATCAAAATTGTGTATTACTGAATCTAAATCTTAAAATAAAAAAAACAAAACAACATCGCATCTTTCAGATAATAAAAAAGGCGACTTTTTATATGGAACACTCTGTATATTATTACATCATACGACAGCTTATTACATGCTCTATAAAATAGCTGAAATATTTCCAATAGTTAAGATTTTTCAATTATTTTATTTTCTGTTTGATCTAGTTATCCAGACAAAATGTTCACCCTGTATATTGTATGTACTAAAAAGGTTAAAAAAACAGACAATTTTTATACAAGAAAAGTTGTACTTTAAATATCCAAACTAAAATGTTTACACTGATTAATTTTGCAAAAAGTGGAGATTTTTAGATAACTATGCTTTGGAAAAAAAGTCAGTCACTTTGGTCTGTGTGAAAAGTCTTGATCAGTTTTAATCTTCTGCCGCATGCTGCATAAATTTTAAATATAAAGTTCAAAAATATAATTTCAATTAAGGGAAATCACGACACGCATAATCCGCTGCCCAGCTGTACCCTCTTATGACACTTCCTTTTCAAGATATTCGAACTTGAAGTTTTGACTCCACCGATAAATAAGTCTCATTCATACCTTCCATTTTACTTTTGAGAGTATACTCTCTTCTGACACTCGCTTTTCGAGACATAAGAATTTAATGTTTTCAAACAATCGATAGCTATGTCACATTCAGACGTTTCGTTCAGCACGTGTATCATAGATTTAAGTGGGTTTTTTTTAGATCAGTCAATTGGTAGAAAAGATGGCGGTAACAACATTTCAATATAAAATCGGTTTCGATAATAATATTATTTAATTCATAAAAAATGAAAACACAAAATCATCAATACAATTCTATTTTTTTCTATTTTAATTTTCTTTATCTTACTTCTGCATTATTGTGGTGCATAAGTATTATTTTTGTTTTCTTTATGGATTATGAATTCACATCGCTTAATGTACCTAAGGACGGTAGGAGTGAAAAACGGCATTTGGCCGATTTCCCACCTTTTAAGTAATTTTTCTTTAAACTTGAAATTGTTATTTCTTTTTCTTATTTCTTTTAATTTGCTCAATAAAGAAACATTATTATTTATTTATTATTCCACAATTACATTGGCATAACTATTATAAATTATGGGGACAATAACCAACCATAACTTATTTTTTGTATTTGAGATATTTACATTTTAAGTTATTATTATTAACTCGGTAAAAGGAAAAATCAAATTTTTTAAATTGAAAAATTCCCGTATTATTATCATTATTATGACATATGCCAAATCTGACATTACACTTCTAATCTGATATTACACTTCTACTGTTTCTTTTACTCAATGCAAAAAATCAGACAATAAAATTGTAAAACTATTTGAGACACCATGCATTTCTTAAAATAAAATACCAGATTAATAATTTATTAAAAGAATAATACCTTGGAAACAAATGACGATCGCTTATTATTCATGACATAAAAACTTCGTATAGGTGAACTTGTTTTTTAAATCAATTTATAAGGAAAATGTTATTAAATACTTTATTATCCCAAGAAATAATATATATGTAACTAAACCTGAAAATAATGTGGAAAGCAGCATATTCAACTTTCTTATTAATCCTTTTCAATAAAAAAAGACAGATAGGGTTAAGCAGTATTTCTCTAGCACTCATTGTATCAGACGAAAACAGAAAACGTCCTCTGTACATCCACAAGAAATTTGAGGACCAATGGGTACTAACAACGTAATGTATCTGATCATTTTTGATCACTATCAGTGGTCGGAGGGCTTGGCTTCACCCATATATAACCCATCCCTTAACCTTATCAACCAAGACTGCTCACCCAACTCACTATACATTTACAAAGATTAAGACATTTTTTACTTGTGTCCGGGGAATTTTGGGTCAAGATGAAAATTTCGGTAATTGGGAGGGGGAGAGGTAACATTTGATTTTGGATTTTCTTTCTTGATTCTTCCTGCCAATTTTTAAAAGCTCATAAATATAGGTTTTTTAATTTTTTTGCAGGTACACTTGGACCATGTAGCATTGGAGAACAGTTCCTATTAGATCAAAATATAAAAACGGCCACCTGTCAATGTAAAAAAGGTCACATACGATATGAGAATAACCTCAACTGCTATAGACCTTATACACAGGGTCCGTGTCCGGCAGGGCACATTTTAATCGATGCGACCTCGTGCATTAAACAACCGTGTAGCAAAGGCTACCTGTATTTTCCTGTAAATAAATCGTGTTACAGAATCGGAAATCGAGGACCGTGCAAGAAAAATCACGTGATCTCGTTCGACTTTCACACGCGCCCGTCGATTGACGGAATATCGTATAACGCTGTATGTCGTTGCAAGCACACAAGCAATCATATTTGCGAGCAAACGCAGCAAGCGGCATGCGATCGTGACCACAATACTGTGATATACAACGACCAGTGTTTCAAATTGTATAGCCAAACTCCATGTCCGACCGGAGCTTGGTTGGTCGCCAAGCGGCAAAGTAAAGAATGGGAGACAAAACGAAATGAAGGGCTGTGCCAATGCATGCCAGGTTACAAACAAAATGCGGTTAATGGAAGCGACGTGGAATGTGCCGGCCCTGCTATAGCATTGGCAGAATTTCTTAACCAAAACTCGAAAAAGCACCAGAATATGTATTTATTTAAATAAATTAAAGTTACTTACTGCATTTTCTTCTTTAAATCCATAACAGTACCCTCCGCGATGTCTATGTTGCTGTCCTTTACTCTCAGCTCCTGTTCCAGCATCGCGATTTTCTCCGTTTTGTCGTCCAAGGAAATCTGCAAGACAAATTGGTTTCTGGTTTCTATCATTATGACTAACTGTTAAAGCTTACCAATAAGTCGTCTTTCTCTTTATCTATTTGTGTCAGTTTCTGTTTTAGAACGGAAATGTCCTTCTGCAACAGCTCAGCTTCATTTGGATTTCGTTGATTTTCCAAAACGTGAATGTGATCCTTCGCCTTAATCAGTTCCTCTTCCAACTGGCCTATTTGACCTTGGGAATCCGCCAACGCTGTATCGGTTTGCTCTTGTAACGTCCTGCAAATGGATATCCAAAATACAATCTCACTAACATAGTCGTCTCACTTTAGCTGAACGTATAATGCCTTTTGTTGGTTTAAGTCCGTTTGGGCGATGCGTAACTGTTCTTTCAACGTTATGCATTGCTCCTCCAAATTGCTTATGGTACCGCGACGAGAACCTTGCGTTTGAATCAAATCGTGACGGTCCATTTCCAAACGCCTAATTTCATTGTCGGCATCTGACAATTCCCTTTCGAACTTCGACCGGTCTGTTAGCTGGCTTTCCATAGTTGCCTACATGATTTCACAATAGAGCAATGGTATTGGTAAGTGTAAGTGGTAATTTACCTTAAGTCTTTGGCGAAGAGCATCTCGTTCTTCTTCTAGCCTGCATAGATCTGCTTTCAACATATCTCTTTCTCTCTCCACTTTTCGCATGGCTGTCTGAAATTATCATGATTTTGGTAAATTGACCCATTTATCATTTATTATTAATTTTATTCACTAACAAATTCTAAATTCTGAGAAAAAATGAAGACTGGTCCTCAACCCCGGACTAGATCACTGATTTTTTGTATGCAGGTAAGTAAATGTTATAATAAAATGGTCATATAGTCCCACACACTTAGTGGTTAGAAGTTTTCCTAGTCCTACGCTTGGAAGTTTTTAACACCTACACAGATCATTAGGTATCTCTGTCGAGAATTTTTAGAGGGAAAAAACTGGCCGTCTCGTCGAACTCGACCTACTCACGCAGATTCAGACTGTTATTAATCACTGTAAAAACAAAAGCGACGGCTGCTGGTCTAATACTTTTGCTCCATCCAAAGATTCAAAATGTTTTGTCAGGAACCTACGCTTTTAAAAGCCCCAGAATTTGCGCACTCCTGCATAGTAACCATAACGAATAGGAGGACAAAAGTAATGGCTTGTCCTAGATTGGGCTATGCCCTTCCTGATTTTGCAAAAATTTACCAAAAATGCGGCCCCAAGATCAAGGATTGGAACCCATATGAATCATAGGTTTCTATTATGTCTAAGAATATGTGTATGAAATTTGGTTCCAATCGATTCGGCCGTTTAGCCGGAAATGAGAGTACAGACGAACCGACAGACAGACATCGAGATTTTGTTTGATTCGAATTCCTGGTTCTTCAAAACGTGTATTTCCGTCGCTTACGCAACTAGCACACGATGACGCACAAGAGCAGAGGCGGTGCTGGTGAAGTTGAAAAACGAGAACATCCTCAGGAAGATTTGGATGACGAATATGACGGGAGTAGATACAGGGATTGAAAGAATAACGAAGACAGCAGGGGAGGGGGGGGCTTACTCCTAAGAGTAAAAAAAGGAATGGGCAAGCCAGTCCCGACCCAAAGAGGTCACGTTACTGGACGATAGATACTGTAGAGGTGCGTGATCTAGATGCAGTATTCACCACAGACGAAGTACTGGGAGCAATTTTAAATGTGGTGCTGGCAACAGATTTCGTTTATTAGCTACTTAAGAGTGAGGTCGACTTCTTTTAGGGTCAAGATCAAAACCCGATCCGTGAGGATGCAGTCGGTGCGGAGAAGTTGGTCATCTCGCAGTGAAATGTCAAGAAGAAGATAGACGTGAATTATGTTACAAGTGCGGGGAAGCGGGCCACCGGGCCACAGAGTACGCAGGTGCGGACTAGTGCTTTGCGTGTGAAAGGGCAGAACCGGGTTCAGGCAAAATCCACACTCTCAAACAAGCACGAGAAAGCAGTCGGTGAACGAGCCGAAAAAGACAACAATGATATGGTCAAAGAGGAGGAAAGGGAAGAGGAGGTACCTATCACTTCACACCATGGCTACAATGGTCCAAGGAAATTTAAACAATACTAGGGAGCAATCTAGCAGAGGGGTGAACTTTCCTTGAGGCGATGGGGGGGGGGGGGGCTTATCCCTACTCACCTCGTACCCGTGACAGACGATGCTGTAAGAGAGGTAGTGGATGCGGAGATTGTGGCGAAAACTTCGCTGAACGAAAAAGCGCCGGGACCGGACGGAGTACCAGCACGTGAAGGCGGCGGCGACTCTAATCCCAGAGGGCTGGACTACGGTGTACACAGGAGTCAACCTGAAGAACTGAAAACGGAGCAGATTAATTCCAACCCCAAAGAATGGCGGGGCACACCGATCCATCTGTCTTACCGACTGTACCAGTAAAGTCCTTGAAAAAGTTCTTAAAAAGAGGCCGGAGGAGGTGGTGGACTCAAAACTCTCCCCCGTCCAATTTGGTTTTAGGAAGGAAAAATCCATCGTCGACGCCCTGAGGGTGGTAGCGACAAATGAAAGAGACTGGACGTCAAGAATGCCTTCAACTTCCAGGGAGGCCATAATCGGCGCTTTGCCTGACTTCAGAGTGCCGAGATATCTTGTGAAGTTAGTGCAAAACTATCTGAAGAACACAAAGCCCTCGGGGGAGACCTACGAGTTTGTGTGTAGTGCGGGTGTGCCGCAGAGTTCCTACTTTGGTCCGACGGAGTAGGGGGGTAGTGAAGGTCGGGTTTGCAGATGACCTGTCTGTGTTCGTGCCTGTTACAGACCAGCCGCACAAAACTCGCTCTCCTTACAGTGAAAAGGGGAATCGCTTCGGTCAGATTGGATGTTCTGGGGCAGCAGGTATGCTCCGCAGGGCGGATTAAGCTACTTGAGGTATGGATCGACAAGAATCTGTCGTTCATACCTCATGCAAAAAAGGCAGGTGGGAAGGCGCTGAAAGTGTACAGGGCGCTCAGCAGGATTGTGCCCAAGAGACGCGTGATGGCATCGGCGGCCAGCTCAGCGATGCTCTACGCAGCCGAGGTGTGGCAGTCGGAGACGAAATGGAGAGTGGCGGTGAAGCGCGCTAAGCGTACTGGTCCTAAGTATCTGCAACGCGTATTAATAGGTCGGCGCAGCTAGACGACGTCTTGGTGGTAGCCGGAATTTATCCTGCAGAGGTCGCTATTGCAGCGCGGGCAACTAAATGGGGCAAGCGCTCACGCAGTGGCAACACGGATGGGAGAAATGGACCTCCTGGACGAAAAAACCGATTCCAGACCTAAAACCATGGTACAACATCACCAATGGATATATTCTTGTTTTAATGTGGAAGATGAATACAAACTAATTCAATCAAATGATAACTTTCTATTTTATTTATTAATTGACAATTACCCTCAGCCGACTACTATCTATACATTCTAACACTCCGCCTCGATTCAATTTTAATCCTAAATATTTGAATCGCTTACTTTACATCTAATCAACAGAACAATAACTAAAAAAAAAAATAATATCCAGATCAATTTACAAGTCCAATTTTCTTGCATATGTACTGGAATACATTCTTTGACAACCCCTTTGTCATTATGTCGGCCTGTTGCTCTTGCATTTTAATATAACGAAGATTGATGATTTGTTTCTCAATGCAATCACGAATGAAATGATATTTTATATCAATATGTTTTGTTCGTTGTGAAACCTTTTCACCTAAAGCGATTTTTATAGCTCCCTTGATTGTCTTCATGAATAATCGTTGGTCCATCCAGAGATATACCAATTTCACATAATATACCACGGTACCAGATAATTTCAGCAGCAGCAATCGCCAAAGAAATGTACTCTGACTCCGTAGTTATAAAGCAATGGACGTTTGCTTTCGTGCTGTCCATCCAACTGTTGAACCAAACACTTTGATTATATTTCCTGAAATCGATTTTCGCTCATTTGATTCACTATCATAATCAGCATCGGCAAATCCCTCCAATACTGGTGATTTATAATGGCAGTTGTATAATAATCGCAAATCAAGAGAACTTTTGACATATCTTAATATTCGTTTTGCACCAATCCAATGTTCATCAGTCGCACATGACTGGAATTTGCTGAAGTAACCAACAGCGGCACACAAATCAGGTCTTGTTGCATAAGCTATGTACATAAGACAGCCAATCAGTTCACGATAAGGTTTCTTCGTGAATTCTGATTCACTGCGTGTGATCTTCTTGGTTTGAATCTCCATTGGTGTGGCAACCGGATTGCAATTATTCATGTTGAATCTACGTAGAACGTCTTCGAGATATTTGCGTTGACTTAAATATAATGTCCCAGCATCACGGTTTCTTTGGATATTGATGCCAAGGAAGGTTTTTATTTCACCCATATCTCGCATCTCAAATTCGGCTGCAATCAAACGCTTAACAATCAAAATCTTATCCAAATTCTTTCCAAGCAAAATTAAATCGTCCACATACAATAAAAGTAAGATCATACTTGCCCCACTGCCCATCAAGTACAAACATTGATCATATTGCGAACGTAAGAAACCAATTCTTACAACAAATGTGTGAAAACGCTCATTCCAAACTCTTGACGCTTGTTTAAGTCCGTAGAGAGACTTATTCAATTTGCACACCAATTTGCCTTGGACAAAGCCATCGGGTTGCTCCATATAAATGTCCTCTTCAAGCTTGCCATTAAGAAAAGCAGTCTTCACGTCCATTTGGTGTATTTCCAAATCTCGCTCAACCGCAAGCGCCAGCAAAAGACGTACAGTCGTGATTTTCGCCACCGGTGAATAGGTCTCATTGAAGTCAAACCCCTCTCGTTGCGTGAACCCACGAGCGACCAACCTTGCTTTGTACGTTTCCAATTCTCCTGCAGCATTCCGCTTCCTTGAGAATATCCATTTACAAGTAATGACAGCACGGTTGGATGGTCGTTCAACAAGGGACCAAGTTTCATTTCTTTTTAAAGAATTCATTTCTTCATTGATCGCTTTCATCCATTGATCAGAATCATTTCGTTTTGCAATGTCTCCAAATTTCATGGGAACATCATCAATGAATGCTATTGCATTTAGTGCAAATGCAGAGAAGCATTCGTCCGTATTAAATGAACATGTGGATAGATAATTTTCATGCTCATCATCGTATCTTAATTCAATTGTCGAACTGTCGACCCAGCTACCGAATTTACTTGGTGGTTGACGCTTTCGCTTTGAACGTGCTAATTCATTGCCGGAATATAATTCTTGATTATCAAATTCAGTATCAATTCGTCCAACATCTATTACTCCGCCTGAATCAATACTATCCTTTCCTTTACACGTTGTTTTATCTCCAACATCGTCAATCTCCGCCTCGTCAACACCACTCTTCGCTTGATCTGACTCGTAAAATATGTTCGATGATTCATTGCGTTTTGATTCATCGAATATTACATCACGTTTTACAACAATTCGATTCTTTGAAGAATCCCAAAGTCGATAGCCATTAACTCCATAACCAACCATCACCATCTTGGTTGATTTTGCATCCAGCTTTTTACGAAGTTGATCAGGAATATGTACATATGCAGGCGAACCAAAAACACGGAATTTTGAAATGTCTGTTTTCTTCCCCATCCAAAGCTCGTATGGTGTTGCAACCGACTGAATCGCTCGAGTTATACTACGATTCATCACAAAAGTTGCACAATATACAGCTTCACCCCAAAATATGCGTTCCATATGTCCATCTTCGAGTATGGACCTTACCCTCTCTATCAACGTTCGATTCATTCGTTCCGCGACACCATTTAGTTGCGGTGTATACGAAATCGAATACTGTAATTGAATGCCAGATGCTTCGCATTGTGCCTTGAACCGATTAGATGTGTATTCTCCTCCATTGTCACAACGTAACGCGCCTATTTTCTGCCCAGTATGCGTTTCCGCCATTAATTTGTATTTCTGGAACATAGTGAAGACATCCGATTTTTCTTTGATAAGGTACACTGCCATAAAATGAGTAAAGTCATCAATAAATGTAACCATCCCATGTGCATGGTGAAATCGGCCCACAAACATCACTGTGTACCAAAGCCAACGTACGCTTTGATCGCGCTCCGCCTAAATTGGCGAACGGCTTTCTAGATTGCTTGCCCATGATACAAGGTTCACAAATAGTATCCGCGTCATCAACTAATACGCCAACACCGTTAACCAACGATGGCATTTTTCTTACATCGGCGTAATTCATATGTGCTAGTCGCCTGTGCCATAGTTTTAAACTTTGCTTTACACTGCCATTGGATTTTATCACCGCGTGTACGTTTTCATTCAAAATGCGTTTCATTTCAAATTCATACAAGCGTCCAATCCGCCGACCGGTGATTACTTCACTTGTACCCCGCATAATATGGACCAATCCATTCTGCACAATCATTTCTAGACCAGCATCCTCCAATCGGCTTACCGAAAACAGATTATATTTCAAATCTTTGATGAAAAGTACATTAGTCAGTGTACAACGTTATTCATCACCATTCACAACAACAGTTCCTCGAATTATACCTCGCTTGTATGCTCGAATCGACTCACCACTTTTCGCAACACCTACAATAATTGGATCTTCCAAATCCCATAATTCATTGAACAATGATAGATCGTTCACCATATGTTCAGAAGCACCTGAATCAATTATGAAGCGAATTGATGATTTTGTGTGGCCAACAAAGGCAAATGTACTCGTGTCAGCAACAATCGCCACATCATCTACCGCATTTTCACTAATTGCCAAATTCGATTTTCCTTTCTTCAAATTCACATTGTTCATTTTACTTGATCTACCGTTCTTCTTCTGAAGTAACTTTGGACATTCGTTGCGTTTATGACCTTCTTTCTTGCAAAAATAACAACGTATTACACCACCATACCTGGCAATGCTATTTGAACTACTTTGACCTGCATCCAAATTGCACGATTTGCTCTCTTCGTCTAACAGACGCGAGCGAACAATCTCCATTGTTAAGTTTTTAATATCCATCGTCTCAAGAGCAGTGACCACCATATCATATTTCCTTGACAAAGTCAAAAATAATGTGACAATTAAATTTCTGATATCCATTTCTCCTCCGCATGCTTTTAATTCGCGCACTAATTTGTCGAAGTTGAGGAAATGTTCAGTTAGATTACTTGAATCTTCACAACGTAGCAGTAACATTCGCTTTCTTACACTTATTTCTGTTGCTATACTTGTTCTTTCAAACGTTGTACGAAGCGACTGTATCATTGCAAATGCTGTTTTCCGTTCCTTCAAATACTCTAAATGCGAATCCGCAACACGACGAGTTATTTGTAAACGACATGCGCGATCTTCCTTAATGATTTTCGCAATTTCCACATTATTTTCACGGATATCAGGTTCTGTTACAGCTTTGGCTGCATCTGTTTCCAACCATTTTTCAATTCCTTTGTCCTCTAGCACTACTTGTAGCCGGAAATACCAATTGCTAAATTCTCGTCCATCAAATTGTCGGAACACAAATTTTTCCTCATCTGCCATTTGATTGATGTGTAATGTAATTCAAATTTCTAAGTTTCGGCTCACAAACGTTTTTCTTCAAACTGCACCAAAAACCAACCACTTCACAATGTGCTGAGATAGCCCATAACCTCTTGTTTTAATGTGGAAGATGAATACAAACTAATTCAATCAAATGATAACTTTCTATTTTATTTATTAATTGACAATTACCCTCAGCCGACTACTATCTATACATTCTAACATATATTTCTTGCAGACGTCTCAATCGCCCTTTGTGAGTAGGTACTCTTTTCCGGCAATCCGTTCTTGAGGTATAAGAGAATGTACCCGATCACGATAAGAGGTCGAGGAGGAGGGCTATGGTAGAAATTAATTCCTTTTGTTGAGACCTTTATTTAGAGTACCATGAAGGATCAAAACTAATTCCCCCCCCCCCCCGTACGTTAAGAGGACAGAAAGAAGGGCAGTAGTTGGTAGAAAACTGTTCCTTTCGTTGAGACCTTTAATTAGAATACAATGAGATAAAATTAATTAATTAATTTGTAATCCCCCCTCAGACCCTGTCGCTCACTGATCTCGAAAAAGAGTCGCACGGAAATGTTATAGTTTGTACAAACCAATCTATTTTGATGAGACCTTTCATTAGAATTCCATTCAGGGGAGAACATGTGTTTAAACCCCCCCCCCCCCCATTTCCTAAAGTTTAACTTGGCACCACTAAAGGCATGCGTATGCAAAATCTGAAACCAATTGGTTGTCATATGTAAAAGTTATGCACGTTTTACTTTCAAAAACAGCATCTCAGGAAATAATTCGTGAGGGGGGGGGGGCCTTTTATTCTCATTCCCCTAGAAGTAGTTCGAAACGGCAACAGTGGGCCGGACGGACAAAACGCAAACAATTGCACATTTTTTTAATTCTTAAAAAATGCGCTAAAAAAAAGTTGGGTTAGGGAGACGAGAGAGCCGAAAAATACCTGTTCTTTAGCAAACGGTACCGGTATTGGTGCACTGTATGACAAGAATTATGACCTATCCCGCTTACTGGTGATCGGCGGGGGTTGGAGGTATTGGAAACCCATTTCTTTCGTCAAGAGCTACTACTCCACCCCCTATAATATATTACGTTGAAAAATGCACTAAAAATTACGTACCTATACATGAGATATACGCACTTGCCCTTTTTTAAATTTTGACTTTGACTACTAGGTCAACCATATTAGTAGCCATAGTTACTAGAGTCTCGATGAATATTTTTACAAAAATTAGTATCATTTTACATCAAACTTTTTCAAAATTTGTATCTTTGAAAGAGATGGTCTAATCAGCAGGACACTGTTGCCAATTTCCTACTGTATATATGTATGACTTGCGCTACTAGTATACTAGTTACACTAACGCGTTACCTTCCAAGACAGACCCTCAAAATCAGCACCTTCCACGGTCTCCCTCGCATTCTCCAGCCGAGTCATGAGATTATGTTTTTCCTGGGCCAGTATTTTATTCTCATGTTGTAACGTGGCGATTAACTGATCCTTCGAATTTGAGCGACACGTTAAGAGCTATAAAACGATCCACATTAATATCTTCATGTTAACAATCTGAAATATTAAGTTATGCGTACCATAATAAAAGCCAAAAGCAGCCCAAAATATTAAACAATAACTTATAGATATGATCTGTCAACACTGTGAACATAGCAAAATGTTTTCAGGAGCACAAGCAGTTGCCGAGAATCTTTATTTGTTTAGCAAATCACCATTGTTATGCCATCTTGCGTTTTAGACTAGCAACTTACCAAATTTACTTGTGCTTCTAGGAACTGCTTACACTTGAATTATTGTTGAAGCATGAGTTTCTAAATTCCATTACCGTTAGTCTACTTACCACGACTGAAGACTATTCTGGCACTAATTTGCTATGTGCTTAGGTAAAATCAGACAGTTTAATGTAAATTTTAGACCTTGGGCATTCAAAATGAAATGGAATTGTTATAAGTATTTACATGAGTCATTTTTTATTGTATTCTTTTACACTCTTTAATAAAAAACGAATATACTATCTTACTTGGCTGGCACGATTGTACTTAGTCGATGGGTCATTAATTTGGTTGGTAAGACGTCTATATTCTCTGATGTAAAAATCACGTTCCGTCTTCAGCTGCTCAGATGAGCTCTGAAACAAAGCGTGCAAATACTATTTCTATGCAATTGCCTCGATTGACCAAATTTGTGACTTAGAAGTACCTGAACGTATTTTCGGTCTTCTGTGTTACATTTGCAACAACTGCAATACGAACGTGGTGTGTTAGTTCGAGTAACCCCTTTGTCGCCATAATTGTTATCACACTGTGTGCTAGCATCAAATGATCTAATACGAGTAGGGGGAGACACTGGACTGTTAAGGGGCGTGATTGTGATGTCGGGTTCCGGTGTAGCTTTTCGTTTAGACTTCCTTTTGGGGCTCTTTTTTGATTTTGGTGACGTTCGTTTTGGCGATTTAGATTTGGTAGGGCTACGACGACCTTTTTTAAGCTTTTTTGGGGGAGTTTTAGGTTGAACATTTTGCAATGTTATCACTTCAACTTCTTGGCCCTGCTCGGGATAAAACAATGGAAGATGCCAAAACAAGTTCTGGGCTGGGACAGGAATAGACACAAAGAAGGCGTTCGTACTTACGTCTCGTTTCGTAGGCAGATCGGACACGGTTTCGATTTTTCCAGAAAGCAGCTGGCACTCTAATTCTGCGATTTTTCTTTTTTGATTCGCTGATGCTTGAACTAAACGATCAATTTCCAAATTCAAATCGTGTTCTGGAAAAAAGTTTCCACATTTTAGCGATTGTCGAAATTCAAATACCTACATACGCTTTAAAATGTTCATCAAAGTAAATCTATTCTGTTAACTATTGAATTCAGCGATAAAATTTTCTATTTATAGCCTATAAATAATTTTCCATGATTGTTAAGTGCACTGTAACACAGGGGAGACAAGAAAATCGTCGTAGTTATATCTGCAAGTGGATTGAGAGGAATTGAAGCAAAAGAGGATGCGTTTGTGGTAAGATACCCCGTGTGGTTAGGCACCCATCGGGCGCGTCCCCGGGTGGCGGATAGGGGAAAGCCCATACAGACACCTGAATGATCGTACGTGACTCGTGCTTCGGTGTGGGTAGTGACGATTATAAGTGGCTCGTCGGGGCTAAAACCCAGACTGGTAGCGACGAAGGTCGTCGCCGCGGACCAACCTCCCAAGTCAAGGTGTTAGCGACCGTGCTGAGGACTGCGTGGCACTGGGGTGCAGTGTCGATAACGGTGCCCCTCGGATACCGGGCGACCTCCGAGTGGTGGCTCCTTTCCTTCGGGAAGGGGCTGGCAGCCAAGCCCTGGGCAAGCGGCTCTGCCCAGGTGAGACCGCATTTCCGCACTACTCGTGGGAATTGTATGGAATCTTCAGACAAAACCTTTCTGGGCTCCTCGTCAGAGGGGACCAACAAGCCGGGCCCTCAAAAGGGGTCCGGTAACGGGGCAGGCCTCCTCGAAAGAGGGGACGGCTCCAACGCAGGGCCTTACCCAAGGACCTGGTGGTGGGTCAGCTCCTATTCGCAAGAAGAATAGGACTGGCGCACAGAAGGCGATGGCCAGGAAGCGCCGGCTCGAGGGTAAAACCTCGGGTCAAGCGGGCCCTGCGCCAAAGCCTAAGGCTGCGTCTGGGTCGTTGGCTCAGGGGGGCAACCCGACGTCAGGGACTAAGCGTCTCAGATCAGAGGGAAGCACTCCAGGGTCTGGCTCAAGGCAGCCTGAGAAGAAGCCTAGAGGTTCTGATGCACCCAAGGGTGCACCACGAACTTATGGGCAAGTCGCTGCGGCAGGGCTTAAGGTGGCCGTCGTTCCGGTTTCATACCCGGAGGTGGACATCTCTGAGGCTCAGTCGAGGTGCATTATGGCTGCATTGAATGCAGTCGTAGACCAGATGGAGGGAGGGCCCTTTCCTCGGCTGGCAGGGTTCCGCTGGAATCCGCAGGGTGCCATCGTGGCCGAATGCGAGGACCAGTGGACCTTGGACTGGTTGGAGAGGACCGTCCCTCTTATCAGGCCCTGGGATGGCGCGTCGCTGAAAGTTCAGAGGCACGTCCCGAGGGTAACCAAGGTGATGGCTGTGTTGTACGGGCTCCCGGATGACACGGACACCATTTTGAAGCGCCTCCAGAGGCAAAATCCTGGTTTCAGGACGAGTCTATGGAGGACGTTCTTTCGCAGGGAGGAGCCTGGTAGGATTCTCCTCGCATTTGGTGTCGATGAGACGTCCTATCAGGCACTCCAGCGACAGAACTTTCAGGCGCACGCGGGGGTCTCGCGCGTCACTTTTGTGACGAAAGCGGGTGCTCCGGCTGCGCAAGGTAAGGGAGAGAGCTCCACCGAAGCAGCGGGACCTAGTTCCGTTGCGACGGAGGGGGCTCAACCTCGCGGTGTTGATCTCGAAGAGGAGGCGGGATTGCTCCCGGCACCCGAAGAGATCGAGAAAGATGTCAGCGAGCTTTTGGCTCGCGTGGCGGTTCTTGACTCCGACCAGGGGTCGGAACCGTCGGCATCGCTAAAGGAGGAGGGAACCTAGTACATCAGTGATGGACAAAGTAACCTTCTTACAGAGCAATTTGCAGCACAGTAAGGGGGCGACCTGTCTAATAGGTCGTCAACTTGCTGTAAAGCAGACAGGCGTATGCCTCATACAAGAACCTTGGGTTTACAAGGGACGAGTAAGAGGTCTGGGCCAGGTGGAGGACTCTCTTTATTATAAGAGGGACAGCCAACTGAACCCGAGGACTTGCATTTATGTCGATAGACGAATCGAGTCTTATCTAATGGCTGATTTTTGTTTCAGGGATCTCGTAGCTCTACGACTTCAGCTGAAAGATGACAGAGGACGGGGCAGGCACTTGGTGGTCTGCTCCGCCTATCTCCCGTACGACTCAGAAGGGGCTCCACCAACCAAGGAGCTGGCTGAGTTGATAGAGTACTGTCGAAGTAATTGGCTCCCTCTTGTGGTTGGCTGTGATGCAAACGCACACCATGTTGTGTGGGGCAGCACGGACACGAACTCGAGGGGCGACCACCTTCTGGAGTACATGCAAACAACTGATTTGAATGTTTTAAATCAGGGAGCAGCCCCTACCTTCGTCACAGCGCGGAGGCAGGAGGTCATTGATCTGACGTTGGGCTCACATGATCACGAATTGGAGAGTGTCTGATGAGCCGTCGCTTTCGGACCACAGGCACATTCTCTTCCAACTGAACCTGGCATTGCACTGCGGGCCCTGTAGGTTTCGGAATCCCCGATCCACTGACTGGGACTGCTATGTGGCAAAACTGTCGGACCGGTTGGATAGACCACCTTTGCTCTGTCGGAAAGCAGGGCAGGTGGAAGAGGCGGCCGCATTAGTAAGTGACGCCATAACAGCGTCCTATGAGGACAGCTGTAAACTGCGTACCTTTCGAGGAAAGAAGAGAACACCTTGGTGGAACTCAGACCTTGAAAAGGCTCGTAAGGAGGTTCGCAGGCTCTTTAATAGGGCCATGCGAACTAAGTTACCTGCGGACTGGGAAGATCTTAAGATCTCCCAGCGCAGGTATAAGGACCATATTCGGAGGTCGAAACGAGGATCTTGGAGGACTTTCTGTGGTAACATGGAAGGTCTTCCTGAAGTTCAAAAACTTCGTAAAATCCTTTTGAAGGACCCGGGGCAAAAGGTGGGGACACTGAGCCTTCCATGCGGCAGATATACGTCTACCGCGGATGAGGCACTCACATGTCTCCTGGAAACACACTTTCCAGGCTCTGGGGACTACTTAACTTCGGACCCACCAAAAGGAGCTACTCGGGTCGGTGTAAGGCCGATCAACTGGAAGGTAGCTTCCCGGGTGGTTACCGAGGGATCTCTGAGATGGGCGGTCAACACGTTCAGCCCATTTAAGAGTGCAGGACCGGATGGAATATTCCCGGCTCTTCTACAGAAGGGCCTGGATCCGCTGCTCTTACACTTGTTGCATCTCTTCAGAGCCTCTCTGGCTTTAGGGTATATCCCCGAAAGCTGGAGGAAGGTAAGAGTTGTGTACCTACCTAAGCCGGGTCGTGCTAAATATGACGTGGCGAAGGACTATAGGCCCATCAGCCTATCATCGTTTCTTCTAAAAACGGTGGAGAAGCTGGTGGATGCATACATAAGGAATGGCGTACTGGTTAGTAGACCACTACATCCGTTCCAACATGCTTACAGGGCTGGTATGTCCACGGAGACGGCTCTACACAGCCTGGTGTGCAGGCTGGAAAAGGGAATGTCTTCCGGGGGGATAGCTCTGGGAGCCTTTTTAGATATCGAGGGTGCGTTTAACAAGACCACGTTCGATTCGATTAGTGAGGCTGCTGAGAGCTTTGGTATTGATGGGTCGATCGTAAGATGGATCTGAGCCATGCTCGAAAGCAGAATCATTATATCCTCAATTGGGATGACGGAGATGAGCTCATCGGTTACTAGAGGATGTCCGCAGGGTGGAGTATTGTCTCCACTGCTGTGGTGCCTGGTACTAGACGGGCTCCTCCGCACCTTGAACGAGGGGGGAACATATACACAGGGATACGCGGACGATCTCGCGATCGTCATAACTGGGAAGTTTCCAAACACCGTGAAAGAACTCATGCAGGGGGCTCATGAACAGGTGGATAGGTGGTGCAGTAGCCATGGCCTTTCCGTTAACTCGGAAAAGACCGAGGTTGTTTCATTCACGAATAGAAGGAGAGCGGATCTTACTGGGCTCGCTCTTCGAGGACGTCAACTGGGTCTCACCAGGTCAGTGAAATACCTGGGAGTCATCATTGACTCCCGCCTGACCTGGAAAGGGCACATTGAGCGCATAAGCAAAAAGGCCACTGCATGTCTATGGGCATGCAGAAGGGCTTTTGGTTGTACATGGGGCTTGAACCCTCGACTGGTATACTGGCTTTACACTGCAGTGATAAGGCCAATAATACTGTATGGTGCACTTGTATGGTGGCCTGCCATGCGCAGGGTAACCTACAGGAAGCAGCTAGGAAAGGTCCAGCGACTCGCCTGTCTGGGAGTCACTGGAGCCCTAAAAACCACGCCAACCTTGGCCATGGAGGCACTTCTGGGACTAGAGCCTTTACACTTAGCTGTGGAGGCAGAGGCTCGGAAAGCTTCCATACGGCTAAAAGATTGGGATGAATGGAAGGATCGAGGCAGCCTTGGGCACGGGCGGATCTGGGAGGAAACCCTCAGAACCGATCCCCTCCTTGCAAGGAGGGACGTGATCCGGGCTATCTTGCTAAGACCAAAGCGTTATAAAGTCATTCTCCCGGATAGGGAGCAGTGGCTGAACTCGGATTGCCCGTTCCTCAAACCTGAGGGGCTCGTGTGGTTTACAGACGGGTCCCAAACAGAAAGGGGAACGGGCATGGGTATATATGGTGATCGACCGAGAGCCAGCGTCAGCGTCTCCCTTGGTCAGCATAGCACCGTGTTTCAGGAAGAGATGTTAGCCATCATGACCTGTGCACAGGAAAACCTCCTTAGAGGTTACCGTAACAAGCATATATACATATGTAGTGATAGTCAGGCGGCGTTGAGGGCCCTGTCGGTAGACAGGTTCCGATCAGCTACGGCGCTTGATTGCAGGCGAACCCTAGATAGATTAGGTGAGTCTAATAGGGTAAGCTTGATTTGGGTGCCAGCGCACTGCGGAATAGGGGGCAACGAAAGGGCGGACGAGTTGGCTCGCGAAGGCAGTGGTGGGGTCTT